AGAGCTCTTGATAACTACCGCTGTGAGGAGGATAATTCTGTTGGTTGATCTGCAGGCTATTTGAAGGGGCTATTTGAACTTCATGGACTATGTAGAGACGAATGGTTGTGGTGGTGAGAGGAAGCAGCCATGGCCTATTTTAGATATTATCCCATCATTGGCCTGTAAGGACTGAGAGTCAGCTGAGACACACCGGGGCTTCTCGCCAACCAGATGGACATTCTGAAGTGTGTTGCGCTGCCAAGAGTTTCAATCAGGATTTCTATCGACACGCTCACACTTCTGCGAAAGGTTACTGCCAACACTCGTCTCTCCCTGCAACCCTTCTTGGTGCGCTATTCGACCATGTAGCAACTGCTAAGTCACGCAACGCCAAATGCCATATTGTATGATTGTCACGGTTTAAAAATTTGGAGGGATGTGGGAGGAAGCTGTTTCTGTCTGTTTATTATTTTTTTTATTGCTAGTGGGGTGGGACTAAGTCCCTTGTACTGCGGCCACTTCTGGCCTATTGTACCAGCCCCAGATTATAGATGAGGGTGATTGTGGAGCAATTGGTGGAATGAAGATTGGCAGGGGAAACCGAAGTACTCGGAGAAAACCTGCCCCAGCGCCACTTTGTCCACCACAAATCCCACTTGACCAGACCCGGGATCGAACCCGGGCCGCCGCGGTGGGAAGCCAGCGACTAACCGCTTGAGCTATGGCGCGGCGTTCTGTCTGTTTAAGGCATATTTCGTCATTCGTCTACAAGTTATGAAAAAAGGAATTAACAAAAACTGAACTAACGTAAGAACAGCAAACAGAAACCATAATTTTATTCTCTCACTGTCTTCTTTTCGTCTTCCTTAATTATTTATGTGCAACTGAACGTTTTATTGGGACGGATGTGGACCAAGCGGGACTAACGACATGTCCTCTGTAACCTGGAGGCCAAGGGACCTTGGCACAGTATCAGCCGTGACAAACAGACTCACAATAGCTTAAAGCGTCTTTTTTTACACGTCGTAAAACGCTTAAATGACGAAGTGACGTCATCCTCGCAACACGTGTTGCTAACGTACTTCCCAGGCAGGGAGACTGCAGCAAAGTTCATGCTAAACGGTGGTCTCCAGTGACGTAAAAAGTTGTCAGTTCTTCAAGAAAAGTATTCGAAGAGACAGAAGCACACACGGACATGGCACCTTAAACCTCAGTTCCCCATAGAATAAAGACTGTAAGAAAAATTGTTCTGGCAACAGCAAATAATGTTCATGGATGCCAAGCTGCGTCAGTTTAAGATAAAAGACACTAAATGAAATGTATATATCGCGCGCGCGTGTGTGCGTGCGTGTTGTGCGGTAGACAGGGAATGAAAGTCATACAAAGTAAACGGAAAAAACAAAAATATAAATTATATTTTGGTGCATTACATAACAGAGAGAATGTAGACTTATAAAACAAAGAAGTGGTGAAATAAATAAAAGCAATTCCAGGGAAATAAAGAATGTTCCAACTGAATGCCTTATAGAATCGTGGAATAATGAACATCTGAGGGATTAAATGTTTTAAAATGTTACGAAATGTAGGTCCGCTCTTGGCACACTGGCAGAAACAGAAAGTAATGTCCAAGGGGATAATAACAACTTTAATAGAACTTACATGAAACAGTTTATTCACACATGGAAGGCTTGAACACTACAAGAACTTGACAAACATGTTATCAACAGTCCGTCTTCGTGCTGTTTTCTTTTTTCAGAATTGTATTTACAGTTAACTCAAAAGACATGTGATGCTTATAATGCTGATTATCACGTCATTCAGCCTCAAATGACAAGAACTCTGATGCAGTGTTGATGAACTTGCATTAATAGTCTCTTTTAGGATGCGAGTGTCTTTGGCATGCATAGTAAAATCCAATTCACCTTAGGAAAAGAAAGAAACAATAAAATTAATTATACAGACTTGCCTGCAACAATACTGGAAAACAAATTAGGTCTAAAGTAAGTTTTTGGATTCTCCTTAAAGCAAATTCTACTGTGTCGAGAAAACAAAATGTAAAGATATTTATTTTCGTAATACCTTAATACATATGACTCTTTTTCTAGGTTTTACAGCCCCACTTTAGCCTTGGTCTCCTCTCCTATACAGGTTTCCCAAATTCATCTTAAGACAACATGTAGAAGTCCTTAAATGAGGAGACAAACTATGGGAAGGTCCTTGTACTTGCTACAGACGGACTCGAACTTTGTTCTGCTCTATTGTAGAGGTTCTCTGGATCCTTACTAGCATATGCGCTACAACTGTCTGGATCTTCGTGGCATAAAGAAACACAGACATGACACGTCAACTGATGCGCGATCCTATCGTTCGACTGAGCCACAGGCACCAGAAATCCTCGATTTAACACGAGCGTAAAAAAAAAGGTAAAGTTGTCACTGTGCTTATCTAATCAAGCATTATGCCATGAAGACGTATAGGAGAGTGGAGGTACAGATCCACGTATTCTTGACTTCGACACTAATTGGAGGTGACTGATCAGCCTCAGGAACCTGCCGCTTAATTTGACGCTTACCAGAATAATTCCAAAATAATAAAATCCCTATATAATAGATCTTGATACTTCTGTCAGATATCCGACGGAATTTCAGCAAGTACACAAAATATTCTAAAAATGTGCAAAATAAAAATCAACCATGAACATGGAACTTCACCACTGGATGTAATGAACAGGAATCTGAGATTTGTATGTAGAGTCTACAGTCTACAGTTACAGACCCTCCTTTCACAGCTGTATTTAGAACACTACCAGCAGAAGGCAGCCGTGTTTATCATTCCAGAATGGCGTAATATATTTCAGTAGAATCTTGAAGGATGCACGTAAAATAACAGTAACGCCTTACTTAAGCCACATTAAACGTTTGTATTCTTTACGTAGCCCAGCTTAAACTTTATGTAGTGATTCCTTAACTGATGGCCGATACTTCTAAAATAATGCAACATTCTAGCTTCTTCGTAACAAACAGGCATTTGTATGACACACATGGCTAAGGAGGTGACGACATTAGCATTTAACACACACTGATTCTCACAGCTTATTTCGCTGTTTGTTTCGAAACTTCCTATTTAAGTCCCATTGCGATCTAGAGATACTTGTCATCTGTAAATATCTCTCCTCAAATGACAGAAAGCGAATGGTCTGTACTGAAACTTAGGCCTAAATGTTGCAAGCTCGTTGCTTAGTTCAAACATCTGCTCCTAAGACACAGAGAAGAAAGCCTCGGTTCAATCTTGCTTTCACAAATGACGCTCTTTAAAATCAACTTGTGGTTGTGTAAATATTAAAGCATATACAGAGAAATGCCACTACCAAGAACCGTGTTCAGTTTATTTGTAAATTTTGCTTACATTCTGATTCAAAATGTTTGACGTGTTTAAATCAGGAAGAGGCGGTGCAGAGGGAAAATGAAAACACGGGTCAGTCAATCAATCAGTCCGGACACATACAGCTCGAAACATACTTCGTGAACGCGTACTGTGCTGCCAACTCAGATACAAAGAAACCAATCTCTCGAAAACAGAAAACCTCGTTTCAATTACGAGAAGTGTAGCTGTTTCTGTGGTCAGGAACATTTCTTCTTCGCTACTGTTTACACAACCAAGGTCTGTATTTCTCTCAAGTTAATATCGAGGGAGTCTCTTCCCGATAGCTGTTGGGCAATAGCAGCAGTGCAGAGTTGAACACAGAACTCACAAATATCCAGACGTGGTGGAAGGTGCTCAGCCCACTTCATCAAGGACGCTCTCTATGCCAGGAATGCGCTGTGGAACTCTGAGCGCCTTACAACAGTTCCTCTACACAGACAAACTGTGTTATACACCGAAATAATGAGAGCAGTTCAGAGTCACCACAACTTGAGAGATTTATTTGATTCAGCCTGTTCGCTGGATCTGCAAATGCAGGACTGTACACGTAATCTCACTGCTTCCTCGTGAGCGAGTGTCCGCAGTATCCAGGGAAATATTTCCGCTGCCCTGCCAGTACAATGGGGTTCTGCAGGGTGCATCTGTACCGCCGATGGCCACTGTTTCTCGCTGTTGACCGTTTCAACTATATTCGGTCTCCCTGGACAGCAACCTACGAAAGATATGCTCAGTTTTGAAGTAAATGTATTTCCCAAATGCAATGTTTGAGACTTATCTTGGGGTTCATTAACTGCAAATATGGAATCCTATTGGCTCAGCCGATGAAACAGTGCGCAGAAAAATAATTAATGATCATCGTGTTCAGAAAACTAGTGAACTTCAAAGATATTACAGTGCATAAAGGCGTCCCCACCTTTTCCGTTAAACTTGCTATAAAAAAGTGCTCTGTAACAGGGCAGCGGAGGCTCATGGGGTTGTGAGACGTTGAGGGTCCCACACTATCTAGACAATCGGCTCACAGATGGCGGTAAGGTTGTCAGCCTTAAGCGCCGGCCGGCCGCCCTTTATCCCCCAGGAAGATTCCTGATACTCATTTCTGTTAGAAGCTGAGTCGCCCCAGGGCCATAGTGCGGCTGGAAGGATTAGGTAAATTGAAAAAATCCAATGACCTCATTGGGACTTGAACCCGCGACCTTCCGACTTGTAGCATAGTGCCTCAACCAACTACTGCATTTAAAAATGCTGCAGGTAATACAGGTTTATATTTTATGTGAGAAGCCAATTCTTTTAGTCGATTTTGATAAACACGAGTTTCGACGGAACATTCGGGAAACAAAGGGAATACAACAGGGACCTAATACCAATAATTCAAATTAATTCCATCTGTAACTTTTAAAATAGACCCACAGGCCTATTCCGTATCACAAAATTTCATTGAGAATCCTGTGGGAAGATGCGAGTATGCAGATGAAACACAAACGGAGGAAGGGGTGGATGGACTACCTCACCATTGCGCCTTTACTTTATGAGCTGGTATACAGAACGCTCAAAATGACACCAAAACCAGAGACCCTCTCTGAAGACCTAAGACTCACTTGACTGGCTCCGGGCCGGTATCCAGAACTTCCACGACGTCTCCCTTCTTGAGGGAGATGGCGTCGACGTCATCAGCTGGGAAGTTTTGCGCTGCTACGAAAACATCGGACACCTGCAAAGAGAAGTGGATCATTTGCAAGGGCAACACTGACGCCGCTCGTGTCTTCCTTCCAACCCAGAACTGCACTTGTATTTACTTACAAGACAACGGGGCAGGCAGGACTACTTTATAAATTCAGACTCATGTCCAAAATGAAATAATTTTGTAAAGTATAATAATAACGTATATAAAGCTAAATTCCATATCTGCCCAACTTGTAATTGCTTTGGAAAATGAATCCAATTCCATTAAATTAACATTAATATGATGCAGCTTACAGCTTTTCCTCAATATATCAATATAGAATCTACCCTGAAGGCATGAGGAAAACCATAGTCTCCAATCAATGCTTCGATCGAGACTCGAAACTTTTACCCTGAGAAAGGACCTGCTCGACATCACCAGGCAGTAGCAGCAGCGCGATAAAGAAAGGCATATAATGAAGAAATGCGAGGTAAGACCGGAGCTGAAGCCTACAAAGATATGTGTCACCACTCTTTTCGGATTTGCCGGGTCCTCTTTAATTCTCAATACGATTTTGGGTCATGAATGTATATTCTCTCTGCAGTGAGCAGGATAACATCCTCAAATTAGGTCGGGGGCAGGAGTGAGGAGATGGATAGAATGAATTAAGCACGAAAAGCCCAACAGCTATTCCCATGGCAGGTACAAACCTGCAATTTCAGACTTCACTTGGCATAAACCGCGGGACTAGCAGGGTGGGCTATTTCGTCAGGCCCCTTGTTAGTTAGCTCGTCCTATTTTCGCACAGTAAAGAAACGACTAACCTCTGATCCCAACATTCTGACAGAGGATGCGCTACGGCTCAGCCTTCCCCCGAGTGCATACGTGTTGTCTCCACTGCCGTTTGGCCTACATCTTGGGGTACCGTATCCACTGGGAGGTGACAATGACCTATCGCCATTAAGACTGCCGTACCTCCTACTGTAGCGGTTGCCGTATTTCGTAGTGGGAGTGTTGTACCCACTTGTGACATTGTGTACATCACTGTCACCATTCAGTCGCGTATAGTTCAGAGTGGACCCATCGACACTCTCCAGAGTCCCTCGTCGTCGGCTGGTTGTGGTCGTGTCGCTCCGACGGCGACAGCTGTCCAGCATTCCCAGATCCTCACAGGAACTTCGAGACGTCACGGTGGCAGCGCTACAACTCGACTCCTCTTTAGCTGCTGGACAAGAATATATGGAGAAGTGGTAGGCTGCCTGGCGTGGCAGCCTCAAGGCTGATAACACGTGCAGTGGTTCGAAGTGGCGTATCCCTGACTCATCTAACACTGTATAAGGTATCTGTCCTGTAAGGACGGCCCTAGCGTTTTCTCTTGGTATTATGGCCTGAAGACCCTGCTTCAAAATAAGCAAGGTCCCCGATGAACGTTGGTTTCTGGAGAGCAAAAAGTCTTCCATTGCCAGGATACTGTTGCAGTGAAACAGGCTGCTTGGGATATCCTTGGATGACTCTAGTGGCAGCTGTTCTTTAGGAACTGCCATTAATGCGGCACTTTCACGCACCAATTCTCTCAGTCGTGGGTCAGACCTTGCGACTTCGGGGTCGCTCTGTAGCAGCCTTAACGCCAGGCAGAGACTGGGCCGCTGTTCGGCGAGCTGACGCATGACGGTAAGACGGCGCAGAATATCCATGGTCACACGGTCACTGGATAGGACCTGCGTTGATTGGGGATCAGAGAGGATGTCCAGGAGACCAGCTACAACATCTGACATTCCCAACGCACGGGCCAGACCTACAGACTGCATCAAAAGCCCTCTCATATCATCATTCTTATCATACATCGATTCGTCCTGCAGAATTTCTTGTATCCTCTGGTCGCTGCGTTCCTGGACAACGCTCACGATTGCCCTCTGCAATGACTCTGTCGCGCCTTTCTCTGTACTGACATCTTCGACACATTCAGAAAGTTTCTGCAACACCTGATCCAGAAAGTCCGGATTACCATGAGTCAGGTGTTTGAATGCAGACTCTAGAGATTCTTCTTTTGTGCCAGTCTTAATTTCTTCCTCTTCGCTAGAAATTGCTTTAGTCTCTTTCAGCAGGGCAGATAATTTCTCCAGTACATGCTCTTCTGTGTGATGTTTGGACAAAATATCCTTTAGAATCTCCAGTTTACTGAACTCTGCTTCGTGTAAGGTTCCATTTGCTTCAACAGCTGTGCGAACTCCGTTCCGTTTAAAGTCGAAGGTCGGAATTTCCAAGGAAACCTGACGACCCAGGGACATCCCTGCTTCCGATAACTGGCGGAGCATTCGTGAATCAATAGACATTTCCCACTCGCTGGCAGGTACGTATGAAGCAGTCACGTGCATGGGACGCAGAAGTTGCAGTTCTTCCGGGGTTATCTCGAAACCCTGCACGGAAAATTCAAAGCCACCTTCCGGGGTGTCTTGAAAATCGGGAGCGACGAAGCGCAAAGAGCCATCTTTCGTCTTGACTGTCTGTCCAGGGACGAACTTCACTTTGTTATCATCAGTTTCTATGACCTGTCCTGGAACGAACCGAGGTCCATCAGTAGTATCCAATACCTCCCCGGGCACAAATTTCGAACCTTCGTCAGTAGATATTACTTGCCCGGGTATGAATGTTGGCCCGGCTTTGGTGTCAACTATCTGACCTGGAACGAATCGCGTGCCTTCGGAAGTCTCCATTGTTTGCCCAGGAACAAACTTCTGGCCGATTCTTGTTTCTACAACCTGCCCAGGAACAAACTTCGCCCCCTCTGAGGTTTCCACAACCTGACCTGGAACAAACTGCTCTCCTTGATCTGTCATAACTACTTGTCCCGGGACGAACTTCTCAATCCCGGGCTCTATCTCAATAACAGCGCCCGGAACAAATTTAACTTTGCCATCCACAGCGCGTTCCAGTTTTCCAGGCACTATCTTTCCGGCCGGTAGTCCACTGGTGGATTGACCAGGGAAGAACTCCACACCATGTGATGTCTGCACAACATGTCCAAAATAAGTTGATATATCAGATGATGGCGGTAAACCAGAATGGGGATTGATTGGTTTAAGCCCTTCTTTAGGAACTTCAATAACATCATCTAAAATTATATCTTCTAATTTCTGTGCCGCGGTGAATTCGATATTATTATTTTCGGCAATACACGTTTTCCCGGGAACAAACGCAGTTTCGCCTGTTGCATTCTTTAATATCTGGCCTTCTACGAACTTTATTCCTTCTGGAGTCTGCAAAGCTCTTCCAGGCACAAACTTAGAACCGACTCCGTCTTTTTCTAAAACAGTAACTCCAGGTACGAACTGCGGGCATCCTTCTGCTGTATTCACAATCTGTCCAGGAATGAACCTAGGACCTTCAGGGGTCATAACAGTTTGGCCGGCCACGAACTTGACTTCTCCTTCCTTCGTAACAGCTTGACCCGGAACGAATTCCCAGATACCGTCCTTCGTCTGTATACTCTGACCTGCAATAAAAATCTCTTCGCCCTGTGCTGTTGCCACAGTTTGGCCAGGTACAAACTTGGGACCATCAGATGTCAGAACTGTCTGACCCGGGACAAACTTATAGGCTTGCGTCTTTGTGTTTGTATTCGAAACATTTTGTGTCTCACTTTGTATCAAAGTCTTTTCGTCCTTTACGTCAATGACGAATTCGTTTTCAGAAACTGTAACATCCGTGTCCAAAATCAGCTGCCCTGGTATAAATTTTGGCCCATCTGGTGTTATCACAGTCTGGCCGGCCATGAATCTCGATCCACCTGGTGTATGAACATTCTGGCCTGCAACAAATTTCTCTCCGTCTCGTGTAGTTAAAGTTTGGCCGGCTATAAACACTGGCACAGTATTTCCTCCACTCTCTTCAGTGACTGCCAGGACTTGCTGCCCCGGTATTAGAACAGGACTGTCACATCCTGGGGTCTTAACGGTGAAACCAGGCACAAATTGGGGTCCTGATGGTGTCTGCAATGTTTGGCCTGGCACAAAAACTTCGCCTTTAGGCGTTTCTACTCTCTGGCCTACAACAAATCTCTTTGCAGCGTCTATGTCGAGCACCAGACCTTGAATTTTGTGAACATCTCCCACTTCTGTTACAACACCTTGATCAATTCGAGTTACCAGGTCTGGTATCTCATTAACTTTCGGTACCATACATTTAATTTCCTCTCTTGCTTCAACAAACACGTCCTTTACGTCTGATGTTTTTGCTAACACTTCTGGATCTTTGATTTTCAGTATTGCGTTCAGTACTTCTGCCTCTGGTTCTGCCAGTAATGGGGTAAACGGTGCCACTGATGGGACTGGTTCAAACCCCGTTGTTTCTCCAGGTTCGCCGAGTGTCTGTGACTGAACGATACCTGGTACGGACACGCTAAGGTCCACTACCTGGGCCTGTATGGGCAACGGCTCTGGCAAAGTGCTGATCATAGGGGTGCCAACAGGTTCTCTATCAAATGCGCCCCAGTCCCAGTCTTCTATGAGGGGCCTGATGAGATCCCTCCAATCCCCGCTACACATGAGAAGACTTGTCTCCGCACGAGAGTGTCTAGGATCAAACCTCTTCCAGTTGTTCAACATTTCTCTCTCTTCTTCCGTCATAATATCGTCTTCATTATTTTCTTCCACTCTGTCTCCATTTACTCCCACTTTCTCTTCAGCTTTTGCCTTCATCACATTCTCCACAACTTTCGCCTTCTTCATTTCATTTATTTCAATCTCTTTTTTTATTTCAACCTCTGCTTCCATCTCCTTTTCTTCAAAAATTTTCTTCATTGCGTCTAATACGTCAAGCCGCTTCCTCTTTCTCTTTTTAGTGGTCATTTCCTCTGCCTCTAATTCTGTTATGACATCTGCGTTTGGCCCTTCTCCATCATACAGTTCTGAAGTTTTATCAACCTTCGGCGTAACGGTTTTTAAATCCAGTGAAATATTTTTCCCCTGTTTCAGTTTGAAAACAACCGTGTCGGATTCCTTCGAGAGCATGATATCACGAACGTCGCCATCTCTGACTGCTAACTCTAGAGCCGACGGAAACACAAGACCGCAATGTCTTTCTTTCACGACATACACAAAGCGGGAGTCCTCCTCAGGAAATGAGATCACACGACCATCTTTAGTTGCTAGGAGCTCCATCATTGTCTTTTCTTGATCAGAGGAACCATCCAGTACCGGCAGTACATAGCGGTAGTCACACAAAACAATATGGCGTCTCCTTTTGTCGCGGGCCTCTACTTCCGGTGCAAATTTATGAGCAGCTTCATTGTTAGTGATCTTGCATTTCCCGCGCGATTTCTTGGACTTGCTGATGAGGGCGACGGGAATGTAATGATGCGAGGGAAGGCCATACGACTTCCCTGTGATGCGGCAAAGTCGCTTTGCATCTGCTGGCGAAATTGGGGGCAAAAGTGGGAAGTAGTTGGATTTCGGAAGGCCGCGACTTTTACCTGTAATTCTGCAGAACGTAGACATATTGATTATATTGTATGTAGCTCCAAGACTTGTAGCCTCGGGTCATAAAATAAACTGAAACTTGTTGAATATGGAGGTCTTCCCCACTCACCGCATACAAAATAAAAATTTCTTTTAAGCAGAAAATTTTCAGGCTTATGTGTGAGAAATCGTATATTTTATAGATGAACAGATGTTAGTTATAAAACTTATGAAACGCTCCAATACCAATCTGAATATATCACTGAACACAAAACGCTCAAATAAATTCACTGCATAAACTGTTCCATACAGACAAATTTCGACCTCAACAGTTCAGGGCACGTGGTAATTATGGTTGATATTCGCACAGCCAATAAGACGGAATGGTTGTGTTGACAAAACACGCACAATTCGCACACAATACGATGAAGACGCGTCACAAAAGCACAGCCTTTTTAATATCAGTCAGAACGTTTTCAACTGCCTCCAAGATCTTGTCCTCTTCGCTTCTCTGACGAAGTAATCGATAATCCAGATGGAAGAAAATTATTTTCGTATCAAATTCAATCGGTGGTTAGTCCAACATAAGCGATGTCAAAAAAAAATCTTTTAAATATGTTTGATTAACTGAGCGTTTAATGACAAGTTTACTTTACTGAGACGAAAACACAGAAATTGAATAACTTGTTGCTCGCAGTTCGTTGCGTCAGCTGTCATTAGGTTTCGTTCTCGTCGTCGTGCCATCGCAGTGTAAATTGTAGGAAGACGCCTGACGCCTGACGCCGGCCGGGGTTGCCTTCAACTGATTAAGGTAACTCTGTTTTGGTTGTACCCCATCGCGAGCAAAAGGACGAAGACGCCCGAATACTGCCGACGACACGGCGTCTACAAATATTACTAAACTCTTTTTCTGTCCTACAGCTGAACAAAGTTTGACGGACGCCGTGTTGCGAAGGTGACTTAATAACGGTCAAGGCTCCAAGGCTGCTGATTCAGAGTGTTGTAACGCGGACAGGCCGATTTAGGCCACTCCGTCATCACGTGGACGTGTCGGCAGTGGAGAGAGAGACCAGCTGTTAGCGTGTGTGGACAGCTTGTACTCTACTGGGCGAAAAGTTTAGTATTTATACATTTGTAGTTTATTTAACTGGGCGGTCTGTAGCTAGCTAGACTGCATTGCGTCGAATGACCAGATCAGGAAGGAAGCTGTAGTGGTCTAATCGAGGTACTATCGCAGCGTTTACCTATAGGGGAGAGGCGAAGGCAACCATGAAAACCCTCAGTATAATCAGTGCTCAGAACTGGGTGCGAATCGGGCGCCCCCCGATAGGAGTCTAGAGCATTACCGCTTGGGACAACTTGCCTGGTTCCACGGCTCTGAGTAAAACCTAAACTGAGGAAGAATTGCAACTTAGGAGTGATCTGCTGCTGTCAGCTGGTACAAGACCTCGTTTCTTTTCATAATGGTTTGAAAACGCCTGGTATCAACAGTGGTGTGTATACTTTACTGCAAGAAAGCACTATAGCTCGAAACAATTTCGATATATATGCAATATTTTGTTTCAGTCTGTTTCAGTATTTATTTTGTCAGTAAAATTTTTCCAGAAATTACAATATCCAGAAGATGGAAATAATCATCATCATGCCCTTGGTTATGTCGTGGCCATCACTAAAACCAAACTGCAGTCGAGACTGAACAAGAGCAGCAACAACTTCAGCCAGTAAACTTCATTCTAGTGTCTGCGTTCGAATGTCAGATACATAAGGTTACATAAAATTCATATATAGGCCTAACAATCGATGCAACAATTGTGCTGTATATGGCGTTAATTAAAATAATGATGGAATGATTTCGATTATTTGTAATTTTCCAGTGGCGCGTAAACTGTAATCCAATAATGCCGCCTATGCACAGATAAAGTGGGAGCCGGCAGAGCTCACTCGCTATAGCGAAAGGATGTGGGCTTGAGGGCCGAGGGTGGATTCCCGGCAAACGTAGAAGAGTTTTCTCTACTACACAGCCTCCAGACCGGCTGTTGGCCTACTCAGCTTCCCAACCAACAGGCACCGGGAGGTGAACCTGACCTCTCACCTCCATCTAGTGACGAGGTTAGGAATGGTGGAGCTATACCTCCACTCCCAGAACATGTCTCTACGGCGTGGTGCTAAGTTAATTAAGCACAGGTACAACTTTATCTTTAGATTAAGCACACGCAAAATCGTATTCTTAACTTACAGGTCTACGTGACGATGAGGCTGACTACCCAAATTATCCTTCAGAGCTAAGAGTTGAACTTAGAGCTTGAGATGGGCGACAGGATACCGCTCCTTCGTGTCTGGGTTCAAAACTTGGGTCAGTGACAGGTTATACTGAGGATTCTAGTGGTTCTCTTCAGTCCCTCCAGCAAAATTCCAAGTTAATACGACAACTTACAGCAATTCGGCTTCCGTTCAAATCCTTTCCAATTCAATAATCATCCGGAAGTTCAATGCTACACACATACGCACATATAGAGTCAGCTATGGAACGATTCGCTTAATAAACCAGGAATAAATAAATACAACATAACTATATTTTAGCGAAATTCCAGAGCCACGTGAATTGACTTGTCGCGTTACATAGGCAACACGGAATACACTGAGGTGCCGTCTCTGCAGACCGCCGCGGCTCCAATCTGCTGTGTGCACAGGTTCTTCTCACGGAAAATAAGGCGGTCTTAGCATAAAGCTCACCAATCTCTGTATATACAGAGACACGGTTCCCAATTTAAAGCCATATTTCGGAAACTGGTTCTATTTTCGTCTTCAGGTGAACAGGACATGAAAGGAAACATAAGTAGAGATACACTAAAACCAATACCGGAAGCAAACTCCACTCCGAGTCTCTATACGCAAGCCTAATGTAGGATTTGAGGTTCTCATAGCGGTATTAAGACTGGGTTATGACGCCGTGTTGACTCTCAACGAACTCTTCGCAGGTTTCAGTAAACTGGGAAGATGAGCAGAGTTCAAAACATGGCAATGGTTTTGAAAATGTTAAAACTTTTAGCTCAATTCCTCCATGGATATTCATGGCGCGATCCATAAACTTATGGGTAACTCTAGGCAGTTTACTTTCATATAAAGCATGATATATCAACTACTGGGACCATGCCGGAACAAACTTATATACGTCAATTTTCAATGAAGAAGATATCAGAAAAATTGTGAAGGTTAAATCCATGAAAATACAGAACCAAACTGTTACAAACAACACTGTTGTGTCTGGCAGCAGATTTCACTTTCAAATTTAAAATTATACAAGCATGAAATGAGACGTGAAGCTGATAACAAATGTTGTACAGTGATGGCTGTGCATGAAAATTTTGCAATTTTTTGGCATTCGCCTCAAGAGACTTAAGAAAATAGAAGAACCCTCTGTCAATGTAGCCAAGTACTCAGCCGAAATTCTAACTCCAGCCCTCCCCCCCAGACTTCACGTATCGAAAACGTTAATAATGTGAAGAACAAGCAGAGATGCTGCGAAAGTTGCAACTTCATTTGAGGTGTAAATCGAAACATGAAAATCAATTTTCAAATAACGTATTCTACATAAAATTCTGCTCTTTGAGAGGGATCTAAGGCTCTGCATATTTAATTCAAAATTACTTTAGACTGGCATCTCTCTAGATCTGAAAACAGTATTGTAATAAACATAAATATATAGTATTACATTATATCTTAACATATTTATAACGTAGCACTCTCTACTATCATTGCATTTGCCCGAGGAAAACCACGGAAACTCTCTAAGGGGATGGTCGGTCTCCGGGCTCTTCAGGAAGTTCCAACATTTGACCAGGACGTTCGGTCCTCCAGACGTGTAGGATAACTGCGCATGTGCTGATTAGGATGCCGCGCAGAACTGGCGAGGGATGAACCTTCTGGTTGGGGGTCGGGAGGGTGATGTCTTGCATGTTAGGGACTGTCACACACACTTCAAAGAATTTGCTTGTGCGATCTAAGCACCGAAGAATGACTCGAGATGCGGTTCACTGGCAGACTCTCGGGTTCCGCGATTATTTCTTGTCTAGAGGGGCTCGCTGCTACCGAGTGAATTACTTACATAACTTGTCACCACGCTCAATTTTGCCTTCAATGGCGTCAGTGTACCTTCTGCATGACCGCCATGTGAATATGACCAGCAGTTAACAGACAGCAAGGCAAGATGACATCCAAAATGAATTGGCCTACGACACACCCTTGTAATAACGGACCAACGCTATAACCGAGTGAAGGTATATTCATGTAAGCACACCATACATACACAGACAATACGCGCAATAAACACAGAAACACGCAATTGGATTGTATAAACGTTTTTACGTTGTTTCTTTATTTTAAATAGTTTTGTAAATACAAAACCTTCTTACTGCTTTAACATCTCTACAAATTCACAACTGCACACACCCAGATTTTGTCCATTACACCCCGAGGGGCACGCGATAGCGTAGTTCGCCGAGGCACTATGCTACAAGCCGGGAGGTCGCGGGTCCGATTCTCAATAACGTTACTGGATTTTTCAATCGACCTAATCCTTCCAGCAGAACTATGGCCCTGGGGTCGACTCAGCCTCTAATAGAAATGAGTACCAGGAATATTCCTGGGGGTAAAGGGCGCCCGGGGCGTAAGGCTGACAACCTCACCGCCGTCTATGTGAATCGACTGTCTAGAAAATGTGAGAGCCTCGACATCTCACAACTCTATGGGCCTTCACGGCCTGTTACGGGGATAGCTTTACCTTACACTTACCATTATAACGAGGGTTACTGTACTGCATTAGCAAAGACTAATATAATCATATGCAGAAGCAATACACCTCAGCTACATCAGTATAAAACACGGATACAATTTTACTAGAACCCCTCTTTTTCATTTAAGCCTATTTGCTCTACAAACAGAAAAACAAACAAACTCTGTGATTTTAGTCAGCAAGCGAACTATACCGACCCAGCGACCGCCACTTGTCAGCGAAGTTAGTGCCAACTTTAGCGGATAGAGGGTGTCGCGTGGTCAGCGCAACGGATCCCCACGGCTGTTAATTTCGGTTTTCTAGACCTAAGTCGTCGTTTCCTTGAAATAGCTCCTCAATTACCCTCACGAGTCTGAGTGGGCCCCGTTCCAAAACCACTACCTCTCAGAAAAATCGAACCCGGGACCTCGGAATCTGTAGCCAGGAACTCTGACCACTAGACCACAGAGGCGTGTCACATTCTTGATACAAGAACAAGAAATCCTCAACGATTCAGCAGTTTCCCTAGAAAGGCCTGCTTGGCATATCGCAATGTTTACATGGGCTCTCTTAATATAAGAAATAATATAGAAATCCAATATTTCAAGAATTGAGAGTGCACTATAATGTCTCCAAACAAATATGGCGACTTTCAGGTGCGTTCGCAACCTTGTTCAGCGCCTATAAAGTTGGCTACGTCAGTCCATCCGCCTCTCTGCGTATACTCATGAAATGCCTCGAGAAATTCTCAACGGATTTTAATGAAACTTGATACTGCGGAGTTTGCTCATGATCTGTTATTCTATAAAAACAAAAACAAATTTTGCGGAAACTGGATCTGTTTCTATCCCAATGCGAGAGCAGGAGACACCTACTCTGCTGGGTCCGTTAGAAGGAGGTAACCTCAATCACTGGGCACTCACTGAGGTGTGTCCCACCCTTTGCCTGATGACGCATACAGGCTGTTTCCCAAACGTTGTGTTCCTTTGTGGTTTT